TGGAGCACTACTCTAGTTGCAGTGTGCTGCTTTCTCTTGTTGCGGAGCACAGGCCCTAGGATATGTGGGTGGGCTTCAATAGTTATGGCACATGGTCTCAATAGTGGTGGCTTCCAGGCTCTAGAGCACAGGCTCAGTAGTTGTGGCGCACAAGCATAGTTGCTCCATGGCATGTGGGATCTTCCCGGATCAGAGGTCGAACCTGTGTCTCCTCCGTTGGCAGGCGGATTCTTTACCACTGAGCCCCAGGGAAACCTGCTGCTGCTAAGTCACTTCAGTCGTGTCCAATTCTCTGTGACCCCATAGACGGCAGCCCACCAGGCTCCCCCGTCCCTGGGATACTAAAGGCAAGAATACTGGAGTGGGTTGCCATTGCCTTCTCTGAGGGAAGCCTTCTAGTAATGTTTTAAACTCATTGGTTCAGATGAGCACTTCTTAAACCTCCAGTTTTCCTTTTAGATTTTAGAAAAATGCCTGTGGCTATAAAATTAGACTTCTAGATTGGTACTTTATTATGCTGTGTAGTCTAGATAAAAAACTGTTTTGACTCCTTAGGAATTTAAGATATTAGAGTATTAAAGAAAGCTTTTAATAAAATTATTTTGCTAATTGTTATGACAAGGGCTCTAAGGACACTGACAAAATTAAACAAATGAGTTTTAAATGTACTGAACAATGAAGGATGCTTGAATATTTTGAAGCCACTGTGGATATTTCTTATTGAGTACTTAGTCCTTGAAACATCAGTATCACCAGTGATGCAAATCATGGCTGTAGCAATATGGCAATATAGCAGAGCCTTGTAATTCTGCATTTTATCACCAGGTGTCTCTCTCCTCCTGCTTTATTTATAAGCTACTGTTAAGCTATGGAACAAATAAGATTTATCTTTTACCTATACTTTGATACCATTCCCTTCTGATTCCTATTTATTGACTTCTCATGTCATCACTTAGCCTTGTTTTCTACCTTTCCCTCTTTTTTCCATCTGTTTTTAGATATGTTTAGGTGTCTTATCTTTGTTTATGTTAGAAAAAACAAAAACAGCTAAACCTATGAGGTCCACATCTCCCTCTAATTATCTGTACCTTCCCTTTCTCATTCCCGTTTCTTTCTTCCCAGTCACAAAGTTCCCTATACTCTGTCTTTACTATTTTGATTCCCATTTACCTCTCCAGCACACTGCCATTCAGCTTCACCATCTCCAGGCCTCTAGAACAGTTATAACCAAGGTTATTGACCCACTAGTTCTGCAGTTATTAGACACTTAATTATAAAATCTAGTCCCTCTGCATTATTAAATACAGTCTACTTCCTCTTTCTTGAAATTATTTTCCACTGATCTTCCTCCTACCTCTATCCATTCTTCGGTCATGTTTGCAAGTTTCTGTTTCCACTTGTCCCTTAAGTGTTTGTGATGCTCAAGTTTCTACTCCAACTCTCTTCCCTCCTTCCACTTTCTTCATGTGCAGTAGTACCCACCCTGCAGTGATTCCCAAATCTATATTTCAAACTACACTTACTGCTGACACAGTAATACTTAAAGTATTAAGATATATATAAGCTATATATCCCAAACTGAAATCATCTGCACACACATATGTTTCCCTGTTCCAGAGAATGGTGTTACTATCCCTCCAGGGGTCTAAGATGGAAACCTGGTTATCTTCTGTGATCCGTTCTGCTTTTCACCATTTCACCCCTGCATGTCTAAAAGATTGCTAAGCCCTCTCAATTCTTCCTCTTAAACAGCTCTTGAATCTGTTTACTTTTTTCCGTTTTTTCCCCTCCTTAACCTTAACTACTAGCATCTTTTTCCGGTATCACTGCAGTAGTCTCCTTCCTAACTGGCTTGTAACCCTCCAGTCCGTTCTCCAGGCTGGACACAGAGTGAGTGACCTTTCTAAAAGACCTATCTAAAAAGCATTTGATAATGCTCACCTCCTGCTTAAAACTCATCAGCAATCTCTATTCTTTTGTCTTCTGTGTAAGTGGCCACATGTGAAGGATTCTGATCAGCTGTGCTCACCTCATGCCACCTCCTCTGTGCTTTTTCACCTCTGGTTTTGCAAACAGGCCCTTCTCTCTGCCTAGCCCTCCACTTACCCCCCATCTCATAGCTCACCTGTCTCTGATTTCAGCTCAGGTGTGACTTCCTGGAAACCTTTCTTGGTGCTTCTGAAGGTTGATTAATTCATAAACTCAGCCCTCTGAATTTAGTTTTAACATGACATTCTCACTGTCTTTATCTAGCTCTTCCACCATGAGGCTGAGAGCTCCTTGAGAGCAGGAACTTGGTCCCTTAACTTTTGACCCCAGCATGTTAGCACATGCTAGGAGCTTGATAAGTACATATTGAACATGTTAAATATTTTACATATGCTTTATTTGTTTTTCTTATAAAATGATAATGTAAGTGTGAAAGTATTAATCGCTCAGTCATGTCCAACTTTTCGTGACCCCATGGACTAGTGCGCCAGGCTCCTCTGTCCATGAAATTCTCCAAGCAAGAATACTGGAGTGGGTAGCTATTCCTTTCTCCAGAAGATATTCCCAACCCAGAGGTCGAACCTGGATCTTCTGCCTTGGAGGCAGATTCTTTAGATGATAATGAGTAGCTTTAATAAATGTTATAATTTCTCTTTACAGAAAAAAGTTGTCTCAGGTATAGCAAGTAAACCCAAACAGGATGACGGTGGAAGAATTGCTGCTAGAAATCGCCTCGCTGCCATAAAAAATGCAATGAGAGAGAGAATTAAGCAGGAGGAACAGGCTGAGGCAGCAGCCTCTGTAATGCCAAAGGAAGTGGATAAAATAGTGTTTGATGCTGGATTTTTCAGAATTGAAAGTCCCATTAAATCATTCTCAGGTTAGTTTTTTCTGCTGAGACTACTTAAGGGAAATACTTGGGTTGGATGGACGCTTGTGTAAGAGTTGAAGAACAGTTTTCATGTGAAGATTTATATGTTTTCACTGTGATTTCTGAGAAATAGCTAATGGAAGGTAAGTTTGGTTTCATTTTCATTTGGAATGAAAAATTTCCTACAATGTTTTTGAAATGTAATGAAAGTACCAATTCCCTGATTTTAAAATACTGCCATGTAACCAGCTCTTAATACTTTAGGAAGTCATTATTTCTTATAATTTTCTAACTGGTTGTGTTTTTCAGTACCTGTTTTTCATAGGCTATCTTTATTAGATTGAATTTATTTACTTAGATTGAAATTAAATGTAAGCCATAAATGAGAGGTCACAGTTGAAGTAATCTGTTCTTTAAATCTTGGTAGACACTTCCTTTAATGCTTTAAGTGCTAGATGTTTATTTCCAAGGAGAGACAGACCAAGTCCTCTTTAAGTACTAATTAGCAGGAGGGATTTTTTTTTTCTATTATCTAACTGTGTCCAGTAGGAAGATTTCTGACAATAAATTTGAGTTGCTATCTAATATTTACTTTAAAATGTAAATTTATCACCAAGTATTTTATAACCTCCCAATCAATTTAGGTATCACACCTAGAGTGTGGTTTTGATGTGTTTCCTTTATTCTAAGCAGCTGCGCTCCCTGGATGCCCAGGAATTGCCTCACTGCTAATGACATGACTCCTTGCTACTTATTTTCCAAGGAGCCTAGTAGTTTCCAGGACCATGGATTCACTGCTATATGTTTTTTCATGTCCCATCTTGGTACTTATGACCAGAGAGATCAAGGTTTTTGACCAAAATTTATCTTTTTGAAATTGAGTTTTAATTATACAACACATAGGTTATATGAGATTTGTTATAAACAGAAGTCCCCCAAGAAGCCCCTATTTATTATATCCTCAAGGCCACCACTTCCAGTGCTTAGAGGAATCTTTGGATATTATTTATAGCCTTTTATAAATAAAGTGTAGATTTTTCTCTTGGATTATTTCTTTGATATACTTTCCTTGGTTCTCTCTGATCTTTCTTCGAGAAGCACATATCTCCTAGTAATAGACTATCATTCTTTCCTGTACTTGTCATTTTCTTCTACTTCCTGAGTTTCTTCAACTTTCCTGTTGATGATGTTTTTATTTCCTAAGAGCTCTTTCTCATTCTTTGGATGTTCCGTTTTATAACATTCTGTGCTTGTTTCTTAAGTGTGCTGTCTTATCTTTCTGTAGACATTAATGATAACTTCTATGTATTCTCCTAGAGAGTCAATATTTGTTCCAAAATACTCTTATCTTTTTGGTTTTTGTTTCTGTCTCTTGTATCGGAGGCTTCCCTTGGGTGTCTAATGGTGGTTCACTGCCTGCTCGTGACTATGAGCAGGGCTCTGCACGGCAGCGCATGGGTGGTAGGGTCTTTACTGTGGGATGATTTAGCTGCATTGTTATGCTGTACTTAAGTCTTTTCTCATGGGCTAGTCAGATTCTCCCAGCGAAGGCAATGGCACCCCACTCCAGTACTCTTGCCTGGAAAATCCCATGGACGGAGGAGCCTGGTAGGCTGCGGTCCATGGGGTCACTTAGAGTTGGATACGACTGAGTGACTTCACTTTCACTTCTCACTTTCATGCGTTGGAGAGGAAATGGCAACCCACTCCAGTGTTCTTGCCTGGAGAATCCCAGGAATGGGGGAGCCTGGTGGGCTGCCGTCTATGGGGTCACACAGAGTCGGACACGACTGAAGTGACAGCTGCAGTCAGTTTCTCCAGAGATCTTTCCAACCTGCTGCCTGGAGGGTATAATTCTGGCTGCCAATCTTTTCAGGAGCTACATGGAGGGAGGGAAACTGAGGGTATCAACAGTTTTAAAAATACTCATTTCATCCCTTTTCCATATAATACTCATCTTTCAATTGTATCCCCTAAACCAGAGACCCTCTATTTCAACTTTTTTGGGGAAATAAGCCTCTAGTTTTTTTTTAATCTTCATAGTGGGAGGGGATTGTTCACAGCTGCCCAGCTGTGCATAATGAGGAAAGGAGTCTGGACTCTTAACTGTTTTTTAAACTGACTTTGAACCAATCTTCCTGTTTTTACCTCTGCTCCTAGTGATTCTTGACACCACCAATTCTTTTTGAGGGGTACTGTGGTATAAACTGAGCTGATTCACATCTTTCCTGACTGGTGGCTTAGGCTTTATTTTCTCAGGTTTACTAGGTAATATATGACTCATCCATCTATATTGCACTTCCAGAATTTCCTGTTTTGTTGTCTCTTCTTTAGTTTCGTCTGTCCTTGAAAATGATATTTCAAATTTTAAAAGTCACTGACCTTAAAAAAAGAGGATGCTTTGTCCTTGTAGTGTTCTCCCTTTGAAAATTATCTCTTTACTGTTTATATTAGTGAAATGTTAAGAGGAAGCCTTTAGTGTGTGTGGAAAGTCTCAGGCATTTGACTAACAAACATTATTTTCTAGGAGAAAGAGGCTAGTTGGTAGGTGAGTAGGAAGAATTGGCACTGTCTGTCTAACTATAGTGAAAAATGAATGAAAAAGCTTTTTGGTGTTGAGATGATTTCTTTCATCTTCTAGGACTTTCTTCTGAATGCCTTTCTCAAAGACTTAAAACACCTAAGTCAGTCAGCAAAACTGTGTCTGAGACCAGGGCTGAGATGGGCCTTCTAAGACAAACTACATCACCAGAGAATCCTGATCCTCAGGGTGCCAAAAGTGAACCTGTTGATAAGACTTTGATTTCAAATATTCCTGGAAACAGGTATTTCTTTAATGTGTTATTACTAAGAGTTTAACAGAATGTAGACATTAAATACCATTTCCAATTGTTAACCTGTTAAGTATGGAACACATGTATTTTTAAATTTCACGTGACCCAGTAACATATAGGCAATATTTCTATTTTATAAATGAGGAAATTAAGGCTTCAGATTTCAGATTTGGAAATGGTCATATCTATATGGATAAAATAAATTCTGCAGAACTGAAAAGAAAAGAAACAATATAGTGTTCTTTGGTGCTAAACAGTATAGTGTTATTTTGTATGCAGTTTTGGTGCTTGACACATCTGAGCTCAAAATCAATCATGAGACATACTATGAAACTTCAAGTCAAGTTTTAACTCAACTTCAGTTTCATCATGTATAAAATAGTGCTGTTACCTCCCTGCAGGGTCATTAGGAAGTAGGCACTTTTGTACCAGCCTTTATGGAAAGTACCTTGGGAATCCTGACTTGACAGATGGCAGAGCAGACAAGGGGGAGCTAATATGTACTGAACAATTATTATGTGGAGGAGAAAATGGCAACCCACTCCGGTATTTTCGCCTGGAAAATTCCATGGACAGGGGAGCCTGGTGGGCTACAGTCCATGGGGTTGCAGTCAGACACGACTGAAACACACACACACACCATGCCCCCACCCCCGTCTACTTCTATTCCCGATCAGACTCTTAGCCTCTGCAGGGACTACTTTGGGACCCTCATCCTCAGGTTCCCCAGGTCTGCCTTGGAGGTGTTGCTGGCGCCCGCTTGGGAACCTGGATGCCTCTGCTTCGCAGCGCTCTCCTGGCAGGGCACAGGGGAGCAGCAGGTGGCCATGCACTCGGTTTGCTCCTGAACTGGCTGCCATGTGATTACTACTTCTCCATGTCACCTTCAGGTGGAAGCCTCCTCAGCCCTTCCTCTAAGCTGAGGTTCACCTCTCTGAAAGGGGAGCTTGGGCATTGCTGAACTATGTTGACCTCTGCAAAAGCAAGATGTATTTCCTCCTGAGGCTGTCAGCTCCCAAATGAAGCTTATTTAATAAAGGAATTAGTTCCAATTGAAAAAAAAAAATTATTATAGGCTGGACATGGTTCTAGGTTCCTGTCATATATTATCTCATTCAGTCCTCAAAACAACCAGGTGAGGTACTAAATCCCCATTTTTGAAAAATGAGAAAATTTGGAAAGTAAGTTACCCAAATTCACCTTGAGAACACCCTATAACTTGAAATAGGGGAAACAAATGAAAGTTTCTCTTCATAAGTATTTCATGGAACAAGTTATAAGATTTCTAGTTTTTAATGTAAGCCAAAGTATATTTAGCATTTGTGGTAGTTAAAATACTTTAGAATCTTTAAAAATCTGTGGATCATAAGATACCAATTTATCGTCATTTCTTATCCTGCAGTTCATTATCTTGTACTAAGAAGATCCAAAATTGTATTTAAGTGATATTACAAGTGCTGTTTAGGACTTCTCCTTACTTTTTAATTTCTAAAAATAGTCTCAAAAGAGCCTTTTTACAAACAACTTTGTACAATCAAGGCAAAGTGAAGCTGAAAACCAGAAAAATAGAGTATACTTTAAAAAAAAAATGACTCCAAGAGATTGAGACAGATGTTTCTAATAAAACGTGAGTTAAGCACTTCAGGATTTGAATGTATCATGCTGTAGCTAACAAGTAAATATAGCCAACTCCAGATTTACAACACTTGCATGCTGCTTCCATCCCCTAGAAGTAAGCTTTAGCTTACCCTTCCCTAGTATGTGGCTCTGGATTTGGCTGAGGTTCAAAAGATTTCCAATAGACTGACCAGCATGGTCAAAGACTTGCAAGTGTTCTGGGGAAAATGCATTTGGTTTCTAAGGCCATCCTATAGTAGCTATCATCCAAAACTAATCTATTTGGATCAGGCCTGATCTTAGATGAGGGTCCATCTCTGACCCATAAAGGATAGTCTCAAAACAAATCAAGACAGCAATATGTTTAATTTTCTGAGTACAGTGCTTCTTTTTTCTTTTTCAGAAACAGCACAGGAGAAGATGCTAAGTGTCTTGGTTTACAAGATTTAATTGAAATAAACCATGTAAGTCCTGTTCTGATGCATTAGGTAGCCTAGGATGTTCTCTATTTGTATCAATATATATAGTAACTCCATAAACAACCCCCAAAATTTCCATTGGAAATCTTAATTAGTCATATGAAATGATAGTTCTTATTTCAAAGACCTTTGGCTTGTTTGAGACCATAGTGCCAATTTGTATTTCAACTTACATCAAGATTATTTTTGTAAATAAAGTTTTATTGTACTACAGCCACCGTCATCCATTTATGTATTTGGCTGCTTTCAAAACACAGTGATAGAGTGTTCAGTGTTTGTGGCAGAGACTGTTTGGCTTACAAAGCCTAAAATATTTATAGTTGACTCTTGAACAAAAGAGATCTTTCCAGATGGTGTAGTGGTAAAGAATCTGGAAACTTGGGTTCTAGCCCTGGGTCGAGAAGATTCTTTGGAGTAGGAAATGGCAACCGAACTCCAGTATTCTTGCCTAGAGAATTCCATGGACAGAGGAGCCTGGCAGGCTGCAGTCCTTGGGGTCACAGAGAGTCGGACACAACTGAGCGCACACACAAACGACAGCAGGAGGAGTGTGCCATCCCTCTGCACAGTTGAAAATCCACATAAAACTTATGTTGGCCCACTCTTTATATTGGTTCTTCCATGTTAGTAGTTTCACATCTGTAGATTCAACAACTGCAGATCCTATGGTGTTTACCACTGAATAGATTCTAAGTGGACCCTTGCAGTTCAAACCCTTATTGTTCAAGAGTCCATCATACACCTGGCCCTTTACATAGAATGTCAATCTCTGAACTGGGATATTGGTATTTGCTGAGAAACTTTCCTTCAGTTATACTGTTGCTATAATATTATCTGATCTCATTGTTCAAGAAGCAAGATAGAAGGATGGATTTATAGTGTTCTTTAGCTTGTGCTCAGAATGTCATCCCTCTATTATTGTTTTAAATAGTGACAAGACTTTTTATGTTTATTTTGATTTTGGATAATTAAATATAAAAACCATTTTTACTTCCAGGGTATGAATAAGATAAACTTTGAGATTGGTTGTTTATCTAGTGAAAGAATGAATTTGGCTCTCCATGCTGTCAAAGTAGCAGATGATATTAATACCAACAAAAAGGAAGAAATTTCAGATGTTGTGAAAGGAATGGAACTAAATTCAGTTACAACACAGGATGTTTTGATGATTAGCCCTGAAAAAAATATACAATCACAAAATAACATCTCATGGGAAGAAGAAACGAAAACTTCTCAGTCAGGTAAGGTCTTTTTAATGTATTTAAATAAGGTTTCGTTAAATAAATGAACTTGTCCTAAAGTATAAATTATAGTAAACACTTCTGGATATAGTTTCCAAGAATGATGGTTGAGAAATTGGATACTTGCTATAAATATCTAATGAGAATTAATTCGTGTTGTGGTACCCTACTCTCCACCCCAGACTCTTTTGATTAAAAATCAACAGGTTGATTTTGATTTTGATTAAAATCAACAACAGATACTAATCCACATTGGATGGCAGGAGCACTTTTCATTAGACCTAAATATCTGGGGTCCTTTGTTGTTTGTGAAGGCTCAGAATTAGAAAAATTCCCTGAAAATTTTTTTAGTCCTCTTCTTTTCCATCAAAGAGCCTCAAACCTTTCTTTAAAAACATCCTCTTTTTCTGCCCTAATACCTTTTCTTACCTACTTTGTTGTGATTGTTCTTCAACAGGAAATGGCTCATATTTATGTTATAATGTAATGTGTGATGGTTTCACCTCCTGTTTTTACCTGTTACCCTATGGTGCTGTTCTGGTTGGGGCCTGAGGTGAAATAAACTTTATAACATTGGGCAGACACTTAATACACTCCTGCTATGTTCTTACAGCATCTTTTGGGTACCTTTAAATTACAAGCATGAGATTTATTTAGAGAAGACTTTTATTATACTAAAATTAAGGATGAGGATTTTACAAAGAAATTTAACTACATTTTAAAAGATATTATAGCATGAGATGGCCCACATTTTTCTTTGCCTTTGATATTTGGAAGTTTTCATATCTTTTGAGTCTTTGTCTGTTTCTAACAACCCTTAACTGCAAGAATATTCTTTAAAAAGTTAAAAATTATTCTTTTTTTTTTTCAGTATTATGTGATAATAAAAGTCTAACTACTGAATGCCATCTTCTTGATTCAGTAAGTTTTCAATTTATTTGAAAAGTTCTTTGTATTCTAGATTTGTTTTATAAAATGAGTGTTATTTTTCAGTTTATATGCACAGTTTAAAATGTACATCTTGTCAGTGTTTACTCTGAAGTCCTTTTTTGTTCATTTTTTTCTCCAAATGGGAAAAAAATTTTCATATACTTTATAGTATGCCTTGGTATTAAACTGAAGATTTAATTCCCTACATGGTTTATGTATCAAATTTGTTGTGACAAATTGGTTGAATACTTGAATATGTAGTATGCTCAGTATTTCTCACTGATGCAAGAAAAAGATAAGGCAAGAGTTATACCCTTTTGAAGTATACAGTTGAGAAGAAAATGTCTATCCTACCTTCAGTCATCAATGCTTATTTTCATTGTAATTCTTTTAGATTGCTATTTTTATGTCCTATTATTTTATTTGGAAGCCCCCCAACCTTTACTTTTTAGTGACTTCTTGCCTCTAAGTCTAGTTCAAACATTTGCCTGTCTGTGAAGCCTTCCTGTAAAAGCTCTCATCTCTTGACTGAACTGGGATATTGGTATTTGCTGAGAAACTTTCCTTCAGTTATACTGTTGCTATAATATTATCTGATCTCATTGTTCAAGAAGCAAGATAGAAGGATGGATTTATAGTGTTCTTTAGCTTGTGCTCAGAATGTCATCCTTCTATTATTGTTTTAAATAGTGACAAGACTTTTTATGTTTATTTTGATTTTGGATAATTAAATATAAAAACCATTTTTACTTCCAGGGTATGAATAAGATAAACTTTGAGATTGGTTGTTTATCTAGTGAAAGAATGAATTTGGCTCTCCATGCTGTCAAAGTAGCAGATGATATTAATACCAACAAAAAGGAAGAAATTTCAGATGTTGTGAAAGGAATGGAACTAAATTCAGTTACAACACAGGATGTTTTGATGATTAGCCCTGAAAAAAATATACAATCACAAAATAACATCTCATGGGAAGAAGAAACGAAAACTTCTCAGTCAGGTAAGGTCTTTTTAATGTATTTAAATAAGGTTTCGTTAAATAAATGAACTTGTCCTAAAGTATAAATTATAGTAAACACTTCTGGATATAGTTTCCAAGAATGATGGTTGAGAAATTGGATACTTGCTATAAATATCTAATGAGAATTAATTCGTGTTGTGGTACCCTACTCTCCACCCCAGACTCTTTTGATTAAAAATCAACAGGTTGATTTTGATTTTGATTAAAATCAACAACAGATACTAATCCACATTGGATGGCAGGAGCACTTTTCATTAGACCTAAATATCTGGGGTCCTTTGTTGTTTGTGAAGGCTCAGAATTAGAAAAATTCCCTGAAAATTTTTTTAGTCCTCTTCTTTTCCATCAAAGAGCCTCAAACCTTTCTTTAAAAACATCCTCTTTTTCTGCCCTAATACCTTTTCTTACCTACTTTGTTGTGATTGTTCTTCAACAGGAAATGGCTCATATTTATGTTATAATGTAATGTGTGATGGTTTCACCTCCTGTTTTTACCTGTTACCCTATGGTGCTGTTCTGGTTGGGGCCTGAGGTGAAATAAACTTTATAACATTGGGCAGACACTTAATACACTCCTGCTATGTTCTTACAGCATCTTTTGGGTACCTTTAAATTACAAGCATGAGATTTATTTAGAGAAGACTTTTATTATACTAAAATTAAGGATGAGGATTTTACAAAGAAATTTAACTACATTTTAAAAGATATTATAGCATGAGATGGCCCACATTTTTCTTTGCCTTTGATATTTGGAAGTTTTCATATCTTTTGAGTCTTTGTCTGTTTCTAACAACCCTTAACTGCAAGAATATTCTTTAAAAAGTTAAAAATTATTCTTTTTTTTTTTCAGTATTATGTGATAATAAAAGTCTAACTACTGAATGCCATCTTCTTGATTCAGTAAGTTTTCAATTTATTTGAAAAGTTCTTTGTATTCTAGATTTGTTTTATAAAATGAGTGTTATTTTTCAGTTTATATGCACAGTTTAAAATGTACATCTTGTCAGTGTTTACTCTGAAGTCCTTTTTTGTTCATTTTTTTCTCCAAATGGGAAAAAAATTTTCATATACTTTATAGTATGCCTTGGTATTAAACTGAAGATTTAATTCCCTACATGGTTTATGTATCAAATTTGTTGTGACAAATTGGTTGAATACTTGAATATGTAGTATGCTCAGTATTTCTCACTGATGCAAGAAAAAGATAAGGCAAGAGTTATACCCTTTTGAAGTATACAGTTGAGAAGAAAATGTCTATCCTACCTTCAGTCATCAATGCTTATTTTCATTGTGATTCTTTTAGATTGCTATTTTTATGTCCTATTATTTTATTTGGAAGCCCCCCAACCTTTACTTTTTAGTGACTTCTTGCCTCTAACTCTAGTTCAAACATTTGCCTGTCTGTGAAGCCTTCCTGTAAAAGCTCTCATCTCTTGTATGTTTCTCTGTAGACACAGGCATACAATATATGCAGTACACACATTTAATCTCTTTTTTAAGAGTATAATATGAATAAATAATACTGTATTCCTAAAACATATGATGCTTTCAGAAATCTGTTTCCCTTATTAACTATAAGTTTCTCTTTGGGCAGAGCTGTCTGATTCGTATTCATGGATGCTGGCACTGAATAGTAGGACATAAATGGAAGAGTGCTCTCTTGCCTACTGAGTGTTTGCAGCATTGGTTTTCAGCCCTACTCCTGGATATTTTTATTTCAGTGATCTGGTTTTGGACGTTCACCAGGCAATTCATGTAGCCAGGGTCAGCAACTCTGGTTTACAGCCTTACCTTGAAATTTTCCAGGAACAATTGTTAAAATGAGTCAGGGAATGGGCTTTTTTGCTAATCTTGAATCTCAGAATATAAAAAATTCATTAAGGCAAATGTAGGATAAAACAGCAACAGTTTTTGCTAATCTCACGAAGCCTGACAAAGGCTTGGCTTTCTAAAGCCACTAATTCCTTACGGACCTCTGACTATGTTGACTTTTATTATGTTTTAAGGCTGCCTTCTCCATATTCAGCCTTCTGGGCTCCCTGTATCTCAGGAGCAGAATGATTACTGTGACGTGCACTGTTCATTCTTGGCCTTAGCCTTCTTTACTCAGAGGCTGACACTTAAAGGACAGGGATTTCAGCATGAGGCCAGTTTATAGAAACCTGATTTAATCTTGTTCCCCGTTCTGAACTCTGAATGATTGGTTCTGATAATATATGATATTATAAGTAAGTCTAGAAGTTAATCATAATATTGTTTTTGATATATTAGTAATAAAATTGCTTCACAGTTATACATTTATTGTTGATAAATCTTAGTATCTTATAACTTAGTCTCCCTGTGAGTTATTTTCCATTCCCATAAATATTAGGATTTATATTCTAGGATTTTTTTAATAGGTATACCTTTAGACCCACATTATTACTAGCTCTGTGCGTCATTTAAACCTGAAGTAGGGCTTGAGGGAGAACAAAGAGAAGGATCCTGGCAGGATCACACCAGTAAAATACCTGTTAATTACAATCATGTGTACTAGGATGTGTGGAATCTGCATAAGTGGCCTCAGTTTTACTCATCCTGCATGTGTTACTGAAGTCTGTCACTTTTTAAGGCATGTATCCTTTTTAAAATTTTTTATTTTTTTTAATTTATTTTTAACTGGAGGATAATTGCTTTCCAATGTTGTGTTGGTTTCTGTCACACAAAAGCGTGAATCAGCCGTAAGTATACACACGTGCTTTCCTTCTTGAAGCTCCCCCTCACCTTCCACCCCGTCCCACCCCTCTAGGTTGTCACAGAACACCAGGTTGAGCTCCCTGTGTTACGCAGCAACTTCCCACTAGTTAGCTGTTTTATATATGATAATCTATGTTTCAGTACTTCTCAATTCGTCCCACCCTCTCCTTCCCCACTGCATCCAGAAGTCTGTTCTCTATGTCTGCATCTCTGTTCCTGCCTTGCAAATAGGTTCATCAGTACCATTTTTCTAGGTTCCAAATATAAGGTATATATTCCTAATATACTTTTCAATTAAAAATATATATATATTTTGAAATTAGATCCATGGAGGGTAGCATAACATGGAGAGAAGACATCAAGAACAGACCAGACACATTTCCTTTGGTGGTAACCTGATTTCCTTTTCACCTCTGAGGCCTCTCAGTGGAGAACAACCAGAAGAATTTTGAATTTAAAAATAAATCCAGACATTTTTCTTCATGTTTTCCATGCTATATTCTTAGAATACTGAAAAGTTGAAGAGTGTTTGTGTTCACTGCTGTTCAAGCCACTTGTAGACTGTTGGCCCTCCTTAGGTGGATGCAGAACCTGTGGATACTGAGGGCCTGCTGTTAAGAGATTTAAGCATCCTTGAATTTTGGTATCTGTGTGTGTGTGAGGGGAGGGGGTGATCCTGGGACCAATCCAGCCACCCCCCTCAGGATTCTGAGGAATGATTGTGTAATATTTTAATACTCAGTGTTCATCAAAGTGTGTTTTAGATATGATACTGTTTCTCAAGGGAAGGGGGGATATGTTGTATATTAACCAATGCAGAATAAAAATGTACTTGCCTTGCCTCTCTTGTGTAAAATGTATAAGCTTAAAAGTTAAGTATACCTACTCAGAGCTTACTAACATTCTTCATTTTAATTGAAATATAATGTTAGACTTTAACAAATATTTGCATTCTTTTATACTTAGTTTGAACTCTTAAATTTGTTGATATTGAATAGCTTGCATATTGCTTTTTCATATGTTGAGTTTCTTTAGATATCCATCAGTATATTTGAAATACTTTCTCCTTTATAAAACTCTTGACTATAGGATTGTAGAAGACAGGGCCATCAGTACAACAGAGCACTAAGATGACTGATAGTAGCGAAAGCTTGCCATCAGACCTGGGGCCAGGTATTTCTGTTTGCAAATGAGGTGAGTGTTGGAGGTATTCACCAAACAGGCAGCAACTTTATGAATAATTCTTTAAGATGAGGGCCTTCCAAACAAGAAAGGAAAAGCACATCCACTTTTGTTGTCAGAGGAAGTTGTGTTGGGCTTGTAGAAAAGATAGTATTATCAAAGTTGGGAGTTTTCTAAGGGTCCAGGGCCGTGACCATGTAAAAGAGATGAGTACAGAGCAACCCAAGACTTAGAACATACATAAAGCAATATGTAACATAACAATAAGATAATACTTGCCCTCAAGGATAAAGTCTGTGTGTGCATGCTCAGTTGTGTCTAACTCTTTGCCACCCCGTGGACTGCCAGGCTCCTCTGCCCATGAGATTTTCCAGGCAAGAATACTGGAGTGGGTTGCCACTGATAAAAGTAGATGAGAATAAAACAATGTCAGTCAGTAAACGTGATTTTTTTTTTAGGTTTAATAAGATGTACTGTTGAATCACTTAGAAAACTTTTGGCTGTTAAGTAACAATGCAATGAACTCCAATTGGCTTAACAATAAGGAAGTTCATTATTATAATGTTGTCATGGTGATTTCAGGCACTTTATAGTCAATGGCTCAATGATACATCAAGGTCCAACATCTGTTCACAGTTCATTCTGGCATCCTTGGTGTCAGCATCTCTAATGCTGGGTCCTTTGGGGTGATAAGATGGCTGCTAGTGGTAATCAGAGCTATGTCTTTCCTTTTAGTTTGGTTAGGCCAACTAATGCCACATCTCCATCTGCATCTCATTTGGGATTTACTTAATCAGGATCCCCTGCTTTACCTGGGGTTATACCTGGGTAAAACCAGGACTATTAGGTAGCAGGGAATGAGTCAGGTAGGCAGCCATCAATTTGCCCTTGGGCTAGTGGATTCTAGAATTGTGAGGTATTAAGAAAACCTTTGAAGATAAAATGAAAGAAAACTGGGTAGAACCAGAGCTTTTCCAAAAATGAAAAACGAAATGGGATGAAGTGAAAATATGAAGGCCTGTCCCCCTCTTGACAACTCTAAAGGATCAGCCCAGCTCAGAATCCCTGTAGGGTAGACTGAGGCATGGATGCGCCACTTCTCTCTCTGCCCAGTCGGGTACTTTCTTGTCTTCACAGCTGTTGAAAAAAGGGGCATATACTTCCTCATAAACCTCCTGCGTTCTGATCTCTTTGCCTCTTGGGGAACACAACCTGTGCCAATAGATTATTTGAGAAGATGGTACTGGAGAAACAGTAACAGATCAAATAATATTTTGGTTTTTTATAAAATGAAGTGGTCTAAGCATATCCAAGTTTTGAAATTATATTAACCTTTGACCTTCCTGGTAATGAAGAAGGGCAGAAAGGCATGGTTGATACAGTATTGACAATGGAATTTCCAAATAAAAACCTACTTTTTTCCTTCTACAAATCTGGAGATTTCATTAAACCAAAAGACCCCACAGGAAGATTGATGTTGGTATAAATTACTGATCTGATAGTGTGAAGTATAGTTTAGAAAGATAAAACAGTTAAAAGAAGTCCAAAAGGTCATATGTATATAAACTTTGCTTTTCTTATTTCCTGAATATATTATGTTTCCTTAAGTAAGACAATAGGAGAATGATTTTTTTTGTAGTATCCATTGGTTTTTACCAAACTCTAGAAGAGAGAGGTAAATTTTGTGGTAGTATTTACTCCTGATTTCTTTTTAAAAATATAGTTTCAAATATTGAAAACTGGGAGGCTCTAATGCAGTATTAACATTGCCACATATTTCTTTTTCCTTTAAGTCCTGGACTTAACAATAAATTGCCCCAATTAAATTACATGTAAAGACAAGTAACTCTTAGAATATTTATTAAATCAGTGATTTACAAGAAGGACATTGATGAATAAAGGTAAAATTTTTCACTCATACTTAACATGAAACTTTTAAATGTGTAAGGTTTACGTTCAAATTCATTTCTTTAAAAAAGTATCTGCCCATTTAAGATTATATCATAGTGTGCGAAGCACTGGTGAGAGTTATGTCACCAGAAATTCTCAGCGTACTGATTTCCCCAAAATTTTTCACCCGATGATTGTACTGCAACAAGTGAGCATCATTGACTGCAACCTTGAAATGGTCAGGTTCAACCAGCACTTGTATCTGAAATGACACATACACAAAACTGTTAGAAATGCCCATTCCTTTTAAAACCAGTCTAGCCTAAGCTCTGGATGTCAAAAATTTCATCTTTCTGATCCTTTGTAGAATGAATTAAAGTCAGAAAAGGTAACTTTCCAGAAAAAAAAATTCCAAATTATTCAAAGATTTAAATGGAACAAAATGATAAATTGTTAAAAGGATATATAATTGAAGCCACAGAGGAAAAGATTAATCATTCCTCTACATAAAAACTTAAAGCTTTTGTATGGTCTCAAACACTGAAAGTAAAAATAAAAATGCTAAAGTAGGAATTCTCTGTTTAGAGAAGTGAATGTTATAAAGATGGATAATAACCAGTTTTGGCAAGAGTAAGAGAAACATAATCTCCAAGTAGTTAGAGGATGCATTAATTCTAACATTTTGGAAGCAGCACTTTGGCAATATCTTCATCTAAACCTTAAACATTTTTTTTTTAGTAAAATTACTCTTCTAGGAAGCAAAGATGTATTAGGACTAGTTATCACAGTATTTTAGTAAAATAAATAAAGCTTTCGAGGTTTTATCTGTTTGTAATATTTCCATACTCCAAATTTTCATCAGTAGGGTACTGGTTGAATGACTGCATCTCTAAGCAATGAAGTGTTATTAGGTGACAGTGTTCTGAGAAGGAAATGTCCACCAGATGTAGAATACAGACCCTGTTGGTCCCGCCCCTGAGGAGCGGATGGTCCAGCTGTTTTATTGCCCACTGTATAGTCAACCCTAACCCAACACTGTGGACCTAATATTTGTTGAAGCCATGCTTGAAAATAAAAAATGTGTTGCTTGTCACAAGAAAACACTGGAAAGATATTCGTTTGTAACATTTGTGAAGATGGGGGAGGGGTAAAGGATGGAGAACTTTTTAGTTAAAAAAAAAATCTGTAAATTTTTCTTTTCATAAACAAGCATGAATTAATTTTAGAGTTTAAAAAATTTAGTTTCGATTGCCATGCTAACCTTATGGTTTTAAGGAATTAACTCTCAGCCCAATTATATCAAAGACTTTCTAGGGGACTTCCCTGGCAAGTAGTTAAGACTCCTTGCTTCCACTGCAGGGGGAGCAGATTTGCCCTACATGCCTCACATTACGGCCATAAAAAGAAAGATTTTCTGCCTTTTAAATTAAAGATGCTATGTTTCTCATTTCCAGAAAATCTTAAACTCAGAGAGCTGGTAACAAGGACAATGGTGAGGTGCCTAAATGGAGTTGAGGAATGCGCCACTATTTCTGAGACCATTCCCCTGGGATGGGGAGCAGATGTACTGGTCAGGTGTCCCAGGACAACTGATGAAAATTAATTTCCAGTGTGTTGTGGTTTAAGCTTGATTCCCCATGAGAAATAGACATTATCAATATATAATAGCAATAACTTACTTTGAAAGGTTTACCACTTTCAAATGGGAAAACCATTTGTCTTTCTTCCTTTCCCCAGTTATTATTCAGGTTTGAATTGCAAACAATGACTTTCCTGTTGTCCTCGTTGAAGCGTGGGTTAAAGTGGAAGGCAACATCATTCCCTCTCTTGAAATCTAAAGCAAGTCTGTTTTAAATCAAAAGTCACAGTTAGTAAAATGATTCAAGTTGTACATTTGTATCAAGTGAAGAACATACTTTTCTAAAGAGCAAATCATTTATAAAGTACAGGACACTTTTCTAAACAGAAAGCAAATAAATCATAGAATGGGTTCAAACTGGAAAGTATACTGGGCAAAGTACAGTAGTTCTACCTCATGCATGGGATGTGTGTTCCAAGACCCCCAATGGATGGCTGAAACCATGAATAGTATCAAAATACCTTTTCCATCTGAACTGAACATTTATGCACTGGGGCCATAACTTCTACAGTTTGAGGTATACTTTTCTAAAGAGCAAATCATTTATAAAGTACAGGACACTTTTCTAAACAGAAAGCAAATAAATCATAGAATGGGTTCAAACTGGAAAGTATACTGGGCAAAGTATAGTAGTTCTACCTCATGCATGGGATGTGTGTTCCAAGACCCCCAGTGGATGGCTGAAACCATGAATAGTATCAAAATACCTTTTCCATCTGAACTGAACATTTATGCACTGGGGCCATAACTTCAGTTTGAGGTATGACCCCCCCCCCAAAAAAAAAAGCATGAGTTTCTTTTTCCTTTCTCACAATTTCATGGACAAAAGATCTGTACTTACTGTAGATCTTGGCAACCCCAGTGTATAATTGTTTTCTTTCCGTATTAAATTGAGCACTGTCCCCTTTTCACTTTGAGAGCCCTTTATAGCTTCTCTTTGGCATACGTGAATTGCCAGCATCACTACTCTTGCTTTGGGGGCCATCATTACGTAAAATAAGGGTTATGTGGACACAGCACCAGGGTACCATGACAGTGGATCTGATAACTAATAGACCAGATGTACAGCAGGATGGGGCTGGACAGCACGAGATTTCACCATGCTGTGTACAACGTGGGCAGCCTAAAACTTATGAATTGTTCACTTCTGGAATTTTCCATTTAATATTTTCAGACTGTGATTGACCTTGGGTAACCGAGGCTGTGGAAAGCAAAACCTCAGATAAGGGCCACTACTATACTCGACATACTACCACAGTATCCCACAGTAAACAAGACAATAGGTGTTAAGGTTTTAGCCTTGTTGTCTTTGGTTATATCTTATTCACCTGTATTTCCCTTTTTACTATCTCTACATATAAACATGGTCAAGGTTTCCCTGCAGAGGTTTGGGGCCACTTTGAGGGCACTTTATACCTGACATTATGGAAATACAGCTACCTCTTTCTTGCCCTGACAGGTTACTTTCAACCGCTGTTAAAAGTAAACCAGCCACATAAAGTGCTATCAAATCCCTGGCTTCCTCATAGTTAACTGGAAAACCTAGTCCTAAAACAGCAAGAATGAGATAACATAGTTAATGTTCAGTATCCTGTTGCTGAGTTGTGAAGTCATAATAATAAATATGTTAAATATTCTGTGATGTGAAGTGGAATTAATGGAAGTGCTGGATAAACTTTCTATCCTGTTCTCTCTCCTTGGATGTTAATACAAACACAAATTCTCTGCTGTTAAAGCACTACCCTCTCCACACGGTTTCTCAAAAGTGTGCTCCCCAGAGCACTAATATCAGAAGCAGCTGGTTCTATTAAAAAAAAAAAAAAGCAGCTCTTGTCTTAAAGCAAGGTCTGTATTCTAGACCTATTAACAATGATTCTTTGGGTGTTTTCATTCACCCAGTAACAGATACATCCAACTATCAATGATTAAATTCACAGGGAAAGAATCAATATAGTCAAATGGCAATAGAACTTGTATTTGACTTAATATGCAATGCTTGTACTTTCTCAGCAGTGAAAAGGTAATTGTCATCTCTACCACTTTAAGGATTTTTTTTTTCTTTCATGTGATTCCTCACATAGATTTTGCAGCTCAAAGCAATCCATTTCTCAGTTTACCACCACTTTAATCATTTCAACCAAAATTGGTGTTAACCTGCCACAGTCTCTAACCTTTCTAGTGGTGATGGTGGTGGTGGTGGTGATGTAGTTCCTAAGTCGTGTCCAACTCTTTGGGACCCCATCGACTGTAGCCTGCCAGGCTCCTCTGTCCATGGGATTTCCCAGGCAAGAATACTGGAGTAGGTAGCCATTTCCTCCTCCAGGAGATCTTGACTCAGGATTAGAACCCTTGTCTCCTGCTTGGCAGGCAGATTATTTACCACTGAGCCACCTGAGAAGCCCAACCTTTCTAGTGTGATAGTCCTGAGTAAGGCAAAGATGCCACTGTGGTTCTGCTTGACAGCAGCTGCCTCGGGAGAGCAGATACTACCCAACTATGAGTGCTGCCTGCACAGGGTCAGGGCTGTGGGTCCTGTGTTATTTTGGGAGGAAAGGTGGATGAGTACACAGAAGATATATGAGTATATGTTTTGTAACTTGCTGTGAGACCAGTTTTACTGTGTAGGGAAGTACTGTGCTGAGAGAAGCGGTCTAGGCTGTGTGGAAGGAAGAACTAACTTAAGGTAGTGACTACCACATAGAACCAGAGGAGGCTGGCTGGAGGTGGAGTGAACTGGTTGGCTGAATGTAAAATGATCTGTTCAGAACCTGTCCACCTCCTGGTAACAGAGGAGGTTGCTCCCACTGATTCACCAGGATCAAAGTGACAGGCACTCACAGAGGCTGTTTACAGAATTAAATAAACCTGTGTACAGAGCTTGAATTTGTACCTTTCGTGCATTGTCTAAAAGACCCAGAAACAGATTAATTAATGGCTGTAGGAGCTTTAATGGTACCACCAACCTCAAGGACAGACAGACTGAACAGCTTCAGGATAACCTTAGCCTGCTTGTATTATATGTAAATATAACCAGTGGTGATAACCAGAGTCTGGTGTCCCAACGCAGCTGTAAATCAGCATGGATTTTCCAAAGTGAGCTCAAAATCTTAGCCCCTTCTAGTTCACCTCAACCAAAGCAGTACCAGTGGTGAAGACTGGTTTATTTTGATCAATTAATTTGACAAGTTAAAACTTTAACTTGTAAAGTTTTTTCAAACCTTTTAAGTAAATAGTGTCCACTCAGAACACTGGGGTTCCCCATCTTGTCACTTATCATCTGTAGACCAGGCCAACAGTATGAAAACAGAAATGGCAACAAGCTCACAAATCTGAGAGTGTATCATGACTTTCACAGCTACAGGGAGATTGCACCAATATGAGGACAGGAGGTATAATATTTAAGCTGTCAGATCAACTAGGCATCTTTTTCTTTTTGACCCTAATTTTTGATGGGCTTTGTTTTTTAGACAATCTGTGGCTCAGAGGTGGAGGGATATCCAAACATTATATCATAAAGGGTCTACTTTCCTTTAATTCTAAGGCTTTCCCTGCCAGGAAGAACCAACAGAACGGGTTTTTCTGCTCTTCCTCTTTGTCCTCACAAATTTTTATTCTGGTTCTGGGAAAAACACAAGACAGCGAGGGATTTGTCCTCTTGGTGAGACTGTGTATTGATTTATGGGAAAATCACAAACTATGGTATAGCCAAGATTCTAAATATAATTTTTAAAATTCTATTAAAATTTAAAACAGATCACCCTTTATTCCAAAAACCAATCAATCAATATGTTAGACTTGCTAATTTTGCTCTTTACCTGTTTGCATTGGGCTTTACTGTACCCAGGATTGTTATCAGCATGCGAGGCATGATTCCTCCAGGAAAAGGCAGGTCATAAGGCACATTCTGGGAATAAAAAAATACACATACATCATTAAAGAGTCATGTTCCGGGGGACTTTCCTGGCAGCCCAGTGGTTAAGATGCCATGCTTTTGCTGCAGGAGGTGTGAGTTCACCCTAGTTCACCCCAGTCAGTGAACTAAGATCCCACATGCCATGCAGCTACCCACCCCCCCCCAAAAAAGAGTCATGTTTTCTTGAGGGAAGAAAGAAAAAGACATTGCTAGAGTTCAACCACTATTAACATATGTGAATAACATGTAACCCTACTTTAAGCCATCTTTTCAGACTCTCAGGCCACCTTGTCCAGGGCCTGAAGAGAGATGGCTCCCTACACAACTACAACCACAATAATCAAGAAAGAGGCCATTGGTTAATTAGTGCCAAAGACAGAACATGTTCCCTTCTGGAGACTGTATCTCTCATGATAAGGACCATCCTAATCTATAACTCATGGGAAAGGCTTAAGCTAGACCTTGCAATCAACACTCACGTTTCTATACCACTCTTAAGATCCTTGCCATGACATGTTCGTCCTAGTGGTTCTGCTCCCTGCAGGCAAACACTGTGGCACCTTCTAGGCCTCTGAGGTGTTCTTATGTTTAATTCACACAGGCCCTGTGTGGTGCTTTAAAGGTGGCAAGTACTCAATGTTTGTCGAATGGGAACTTTCCAGTTAATACCTTCCCCAGTTCATTCGACAAATATTTACTGACCGTCTACGTTCAAGGTGTTATAAATATTTCCACTGCTCTATCTTGGCCTCTTCTCTTTTTCCTTTAAGATTGTTTTCCCCTGGGTTCAACCATTGCCCAAGTCTTTTTCTCTCTAGCTCTGATCTGATCTGTATTAGTCCTGTGCTTCTTCCCATCTGGCTTTGCTACTGGTGCCACAAATCTAACCAGTGTGAACTGCAGTGGTGTCCCCTGCCCCTCCCTGATCTGCCCCACTTCCTGAGTTCCTGGTTTGGGCTGACCCTTGGCTGGCATCCTCCTTGTCCAGCCTTGAAAAGCCAGAGTCATTTCTTGACTTTTTGTTGTTGGTGTTTAGTCACAAAGTCACGTCTGACTCTTTGACAACCCCATAGACTGTAACCTGCCACGCTCCTCTCTCCATGGGATTTCCTAGGCAAGAATACTGGAGTAGATTACCATTTCCTTCTCCAAGGGAACTTCCCCACCCAGGGATCGAACCTGTGTCTCCTGAATTGGCAGGCAGACTCTTTGCCACTGTTAAAGTGCTGCACTCAATATGTCAGCAAATTTGGAAAACTAAGCAATGACCACAGGACTGGAAGAGGAAAGTTTTCATCCCAATTCCAAAGACAGGTAATGTCAAAGAATGTTCAAACTACCATACAGTTGTACTCTTTTCACATGCTAGCAAGGAAATGCTCAAAATCCTTCAAGCTAGGCTTCAACAGTATGTGAACTAAGAACTTCCAGATGTAGAAGCTGAATTTAGAAAAGAGGAACAAGAAATCAAATTGCCAATATCTGTGAATCATAGAAAATGCAAGAGAATTCCAGAAAAATGTCCACTTCTGCTGTAGTTGACTATATGAAAGCCTTTGACTGTGGATCACAACAAACTGTGGAAAATTCTTAAAGAGATGGGAATACCAGGCCACCTTACCTGCCTTCTGAGCAATCTGTATTTAGGTCAAGAAGCAACAGTTAGAACTGGACATGGAACAATGAACTGGTTCAAAATTGCAAAAGAACTGGTTCAAAATTGCAAGAGGGGTATGTCAACACTGCATATTGTGACCCTGCTTATTTAACTTCTGTGCAGAGTATATCATGTGAAATGCTGGACTGAATGAAGATTGTTAAGAGAAATAACAACCTCAGATATACAGATGATACCACTCTAATGACAGAGAGTGAAGAGGAACTAAAGAGCCTCTTGATAAGGATGAGAGGGGAAAGTGAAAAAAGCTGGCTAAAACTCAACAATCAAAAAAACTAAATCAAAGCATCTGGTCCCATCACTTCATGGCATATAGATGAAGAAAAAGTGGAAAACAGTGGCATATTTTATTTTCTTGGACTCCAAAATCACTGCAGACAGTGACTGCAGTCACAAAATTAGAAGACCCTTGCTCTTTGGAAGAAAAGCTATGACAAACCTAGACAGCATATTAAAAAGCAGAGACATCACTTTGATTACAAAGGTCTGTATAGTCAAAGCTGTGGGTTTTGCAGCAATGATATACGAATGTGAGAGTTGAACCATAAAGAAAGCTGAGCAGCAAATAATTGATGCTTTTGAATTTTTGGTGCTGAAATTCTTAAAGAGATGGGAATACCAGGCCACCTTACCTGCCTTCTGAGCAATCTGTATTTAGGTCAAGAAGCAACAGTTAGAACTGGACATGGAACAATGAACTGGTTCAAAATTGCAAAAGAACTGGTTCAAAATTGCAAGAGGGGTATGTCAACACTGCATATTGTGACCCTGCTTATTTAACTTCTGTGCAGAGTATATCATGTGAAATGCTGGACTGAATGAAGATTGTTAGGAGAAATAACAACCTCAGATATACAGATGATACCACTCTAATGACAGAGAGTGAAGAGGAACTAAAGAGCCTCTTGATAAGGATGAAAGGGGAAAGTGAAAAAGCTGGCTAAAACTCAACAATCAAAAAAACTAAATCAAAGCATCTGGTCCCATCACTTCATGGCATATAGATGAAGAAAAAGTGGAAAACAGTGGCATATTTTATTTTCTTGGACTCCAAAATCACTGCAGACAGTGACTGCAGTCACAAAATTAGAAGACCCTTGCTCTTTGGAAGAAAAGCTATGACAAACCTAGACAGCATATTAAAAAGCAGAGACATCACTTTGATTACAAAGGTCTGTATAGTCAAAGCTGTGGGTTTTGCAGCAATGATATACGAATGTGAGAGTTGAACCATAAAGAAAGCTGAGCAGCAAATAATTGATGCTTTTGAATTTTTGGTGCTGTAGAAGACTCTTGAGAGTCCCTTGGACAGCAAAGAGACCAAACCAGTGAATCCTAAAGGAAATCAACCCTGAATATTCATTGGAAGGACTGATACTGAAGCTGACATTCCAGTACTTTAGCCACCTGATGTGAAGAGCCTACTCATTAGAAAAGACCCTGATGCTGGGAAAGATTGAGGGCAGGAGGAGAAGGGGGTGACAAGGGATGAGACGGTTGGATGGCATCAAGGACTCAATGAACATGAGTTTGAGAAAACCCCAAGAGATAGAGAAGGACAGGGAAGCCTGGTGTGCTGCAGTCCATGGGGTCACAAAGAGTCGGACTTGACTTAGCGACTGAACAAAAACAGCAAGACTTAACCACTAGATTCTGGGGTTCCTCCTCTTCAATCTCTTTCCCACTGCCTCTTCCTTCCAAAATTTCCATATTCCTGTCTCAACTGACTACCTGTGTGTGGTCCAGGTCCTGCATATCGGCTCTCATGTGCCCAATGCTGTCCCTCTGCTCTCCTCTAAGCTGACCAATAAGCAGAGCAAATACTCCCTGCGCCATCACACTCCTGAAAGGAGCTGATCTCACACTGCTATTGAACGCTTTTCTCAGATATGTATCTTTTCTCACAGCTAGACTGTTTGAAGATGTGTCTGGAGCCCCCAGAGTTGGGTCTTATGGTTAGAATTCATTTATTACAATGAATTTTAATATAAATGAAAATTCAATCCTTAGATCACAAAATTATCTTTAGAAGGTTTTTAAAAACCAGATTACTGTGGTTGCCCCAAGTTTCCCCTCTATGACCATGGGAAGGTTGCATAACCCTTTATTGACCCTATTTCCTTATTTGTAAAGTGGCAATAATAACAGTATCTTACAGAGTGCTTATGGAGTTGAATGAGAGCATCCATGTAGAAGCACACAGCTGGCACATGTTATATATCCAGTGTTTATCAGTAATAATAACAACCATTACTATGATCTTAACTTGATTTATATTAAAGCTGCCTTACAGATGCCTTCAAAACACACATTAGCTTCTCTTTAACAGTACATACACTAAACACGGGAAACTAACTTTTCAATTGAACCAACATACACTGTGCCTGGTCCCTGAAAAATGGCTCTAAGTAGTGAGTTTCAAGCTTCAGGTCTCCCAAAGCCCTCTGCAGGTCAGTGCCCAGAGCCAACTTCCAGTCAGAGCACTACAAAGTGATGACGCTACCGCCCCAGACAATTGCCATTTTCTTTCTTTTTTTTAAAATATTTATTTATTTGGCTGTGCTGGGTCTTAGTTTTGGCATGTGGGATCTAGTTCCCTAATTGGGGGTCAAACCCAGGCTCCCTGCACTGGGAGCATGGAGTCTTAGCCACTGGACTGCTAGGGAGTCCCAGCCATGTTCTTTATTAACTTGGTCCTGAACATACTGACATTTACTAAATGATTCACTCCATCTTACCAGGGGTCCAGAAGGGACGCCATAGGGGCTGGCGGCAGGGTAGGCTCCAGGGGCACTTGGCTGTGCAGGAGGCGGGTAGGCCCCAGGTCCAGGGTAGGCACCCGGTGCAGTTGGTCCAGGATAAGCAGGTGCTGTTGGGCCAGGGTAGGCCCCAGGAGGTCCCTGTCCGGGGTAGGCCCCAGGAGGTCCCTGTCCGGGGTAGGCCCCAGGAGGTCCCTGTCCAGGGTAGGCCCCAGGATAGGCCGCTCCTGGGTAGCCTCCTGCCCCAGCAGGCTGGTTTCCCCATGAACCAGGCCAACCTTGAGGGTTTGGTTTTCCAGACCCAGATAAGGCATCATTAAGCTGGAAAAAAAGACATTAAAAAAATTATAGGATGAAAAACAATCACAACAGAATTTTCAGGAATATGTGATCTAAGAATTAGAGGGATGTGGTGAAGATATGAATTTCATATCAATAATGTTTTTCCTTTTAGTTTTGAGTTCCTAAGATTAAAATTCGACTATGGGATTATACATGCTTTATCACTTTACTCTTGCCTCCCATCATCTCAGATCATTGAGGGTTGCCTTTTTGTAATTTGCTAAAGTCAGGAGCTAGCCATCCTCTATGTAAAAGCACATATTTTCTAACTGACGTGAAAAAAAAAAATAGTCACAAAACTCAGTATGCTCTTTGGCTGCAAAACCTTCCACCGAGCTGGCCCTGGTTGCGTTGGCCTTCCCTTTGCGGGATGTCTACTGCACTTCGGGTACGCCAGGGAAGTTACCACTTGGTGGCATCCAGGCTAGTACCAGAGAGGCTGCCTGGTACACAGGGAGGAGCCTGCGATGTGGAGTCAGATGATGTGGTTTAAAATCCAGTGCTATCCATCAAGAAATCCAGTGTTATCCATCAAGAGCTCCAGTTTCGGAGCCATCATGTCACCTGTATAGGACTTAGTGTCTGTTTGTAAAATGGGGATAATGCTCTATTTCATATGATTGTGGTGACAAACAAGTGAGGCAGCATTTGTGACGGCCCTTTACAGACTGCAAGACTCTGTGCCAGTGTTGGATTGTGTCCTTTCTCTCCAAGAAGAGACTGCTTTCTCCCTGCCTGTTTTCTATAGCACACTGCCAGGTGGTACATGGAAGATGCCCAGTAAAGACTTCTACGTTGACTAAATATGATCTGCCAGGATTGTCTTTGATGCATCGGGAACACAACCCTAGATCTGGTGTTGGGGCAACACAGTGAGGCTGTGAAGGGAGCCCTTCACAGGCCTGGGGGAGGGGGAGAGAGAATCAGAGGGCTCCATGATGATGGAAAGCAAACGGGATAAACCTGAGCAAAGCTCATTGGGGCTGTAGGTGACGTGAGTCATCCATTAAGGAATTTGGGAATACATAAGCATACTAATAGGAATTTGTTTTGGCTGCTTCTTACTCCAGCATTTGGGAAGGGAGAAGGAGTTGAGGGCACTTTAGGATTAAAAAAAAAAATCAGGTTGCTCAGAATGAACCACACTGCCCTTGTTCAGTTGGCTTCTCAGTTCCTGCTGGCAGAATCCACCAGCTTCTGTCCTAGGCCTTTGGTAAAGGGGTTACTGTTAGTGAGGCCTCTCTCTCTCTGCCTGGCTTTCTTCCCAAACCTGTTGCTGGAAAAACAAGACTCCACCTAACAAGCCCTCATTGGACAGATGAGGCCAGAGGAAGCCACGTGGTGGGAGAGTTAAGCTGGAAACTTGAGTGGTTAAAAAAACAAACAACAAAAAATAAAACCCTCATCCTGCATGAATGTATATATATTAAGGTAGGAAAACAGACATAAAACACTCACCGAAAAACCGTCTGCCATTTTCCTGAAAGGAGAAAAAAAAACATAGGGGTTATCATTTGATCCTAAAAGATTTCACTGGTTTCTGTATGAACATCACAAACAGCTCATTGTGCAGGTCAAGTCAATATACAGGCATTCTCTTAACACAAACAAGTCTGTTCTCCAAATATGCCAAAATCAATAGCAGGGAACCATAAAAATGTCTCAAAGGGTGAGGATGCTCTCCACCTGAATCACCAGGCCCTATTTAACTCATAACTGAACTCTAATCACACTAGCTTGTGGCTGAATCCTGGAAGTAACAGGCCATACAATGCAAGTGGGAGAGCAAGGAGTATAATACTCTGCCGTTTCCTAGGTAACAAATGTAAACAGTCCTGGTTTGTCTTTGGTTCTCCTTCACCTTCCTTCCTGTGCTCTTTTTTCCCACCACCTCATAAAAAGTGTTCATCAAATGAATCTTGCCCACCTCTCCTCTGGTTCCCACTGACAGCCCCACACCCTCTTCTAGGTTTTAGGAGGTGGCCATTGGTTCTTCCTCCTAGTGTTTGAAAGACAGTCTCTGCCTTGCCCACCCCAATGTCCAAGCCATAGCTGCTGCTGCTGACTTATTTCTTCATTTGCACAAATTTGTGCCTGTTCTGCGCCAGGCACTGCACGGGCTCAGGTCTGGGTTTGAAGATGGAATTGGCCAAGATGTATCATCAAAGGGTCAGAGGCCAGAAAGGGTCACAAGTAATGGGCGCTGTGAGCCAGACTATGTGCTACGGCAAGTCACAACTGAAAAGATGACTTCTAACAGGAACAGTGTTGAGCTAAACCTTGAAAGAAAGGTGAGACTGGGGATATGAAGCAATAGCGAAGAAAGGCGAGCACAAGATGTACTTTTTTTTTTTTTAAGGTGTTTGTTATTCCAAATGAAAATATCTGGCAGTATAACAAATCAAGTTTTTTAAAAAAAGACAATTTGGAGGAAAATATTTTGGGGTAGGATGCTACCAAAGAGAATTGGCCTTGCCCAAAGCTGCCTCAGTGGGTGGCTGTGAGACCATCATTCCTGCTTCGCTGGCTCCTCCCTCCGTGCCAGTTCCCAACAAACAAGATGTTTGACACTTGCTCCTGGAGCTGGTGCTCTGGCGGTAAGGAGAGGAGGCAGCTTGGGACTCCTCAGGCCTGGGTTCTTTTCTCCACCCAGGATCACCTGTGCTATGGTCAAAGTCACCTGGATCTTCAATAATCAGAATCTTTTTCCTTAAGTTATCTACATGTGTGTGCTGAGCCACTTCAGTCATGTCGGACTCTTTGCTACCCTATGGACCCTAGCCCACCAGGCTCGTCTGTCCATAGGATTCTCTAGGCAAGAAAACTGGAGTGGGTTGCCATGCCCTCCTCCAGGGGATCTTCCTGACCCAGGGATCAAACCCACATCTCTTACATCTCCTGCACTGGCTGGTGGGTTCTTTACCACCAGCACCATCTGGGAAGCCATAGTTGCCTACTTGTTAAAGTTATTCAATTATTCTAAGAAATGATCCATTAAATGGTGGCTACTTGATAGGTCCTAAAAATGTAAAATATTAGACTTTTTGGTAAAACAAAAACAGACAAAAAGTCCTCCTAGAACTTAATGTATGCTTCATTTATACACCAGATATTTTACCTTACTCTGCTGTTACTTATAATACAGTTCAATATTACCTTCCATTATTTTTTTGTTTTTGCACATCTCTTTTTAAATTTGGATACATTCAGGTTATCACTGTGCCCATCTTCCAACTTGGAAACTGCTGGTGATCTAATTGGGAAGTCACAGCAACTCTCCCAGGGCTTGTTTCATTGCACTTAGTATGTAATATCTGACTCTTTAATGCGAAAGTCGGTGCTCCTCTGTACTTCCTTCCCCAAAAGACTGCCACTGCCTAGAGAAGTATGCTGCTACCACAGGAGGAACTTAAGGGTTGTTACAGGGACTTGGCTGGCCATCCAGTGGTTAAGACTTCCCCTTCCAATGCAGGGGGAGCAGGTTCAATCCCTGGTTGAGGAACTAAGATCCCACATGCCTGGTGGCCAAAAAACCAAAACATAAAATATTGTAACAAAATCAATGAAGATTTTAAAAACAGCTTTAAGAGTTCTTACAGAAAAGGGAAAGAAAGGACATTTCTTTCTTTTTTNAATATGTGTGCTTAGTCGTTCAGTCATGTCTGACTCTCTGCGACCCCATGGACTGTAGCCCACCAGGCTCTTCTGTCCATGGGATTCTCCAGGCATGAATACTGGAGTGGGTTGCCACTCCCTCTTCCAGGGGATCTTCCCAACCCAAGGATCAAACCCAGGTCTCCCACATTACAGGCTGAGCCACCAGGGAAGCCCGTCTTATTAATATAAATCCAGTTAAACTTAGATATGTTTAAAGGCTGATCACAACCAGAAACTCATGCGAAGACAGCTAGCCCCAAATGTAACATTTATTCTTTTCAAAGTCTCTGTTCAAACACATTCAGTTTATTTTGGACTGGAGTAGAGTGGGTTGCCGTCTCCCTCTCTCGTGGGTCTTTTGACCCAGGGATTGGACCTGGGTCTCCTGTACTGCAAGCAGATCCTTTACCATCTGGGCCACCTGGGAAGCCCCATTTTCCAGCTGGACCAAAACAACTGGAGAAACAAGGCAGATTCCACTATTTCCGCTGCGTTTCAGGTAACACCAAGGATGGCAGTTTGGATTGTGCTGGGACACATTAGAAGCCCATTAGAATAATGACACCCTGTATTTGTGTGATGTTTTCAGTTTATAAAGCACTTTCACGTACTTTTCTTATTTTGATTCTGATAATAATCTTATGAGGTTGACAGGGAAAAGTTAGTATCCTCACTTCAAAGGTGAGGAAACTGAGTCTTAGAGAGTTAACGTGGTGGCCCAAAGTCATTGTTATTGGCAGGCAGGGACCTGAGTCCAAACAGCCTGACTCCTAATTCTGACTGATTTTATACTAGTAGCAAACCTCACACTTTGACATTTTAAAGTATAGTCCTTCGAAAGTATTAGTTACTTCATTTAGAAATTAATTCTCTGGCTTACTCATCCGGAACTGCATAAACATGCTGAAATCGTAAACAAAAAAGAGATCATGCTTTTGTCAGAAACTAGCTGGGTGACTCATTCAGTGTCCAGTGATACTGAATACAAGAATGCCATTTTGCACAGTCACTTAGCTAACTATAACCACATTTAAACTGATAAAGCTTACTTTCCTAAAAGTTGGGCATGCATTGTTTTGATTATATCAACTCCCAACCATCAGATCTCTGATGGAAAGGTTTCTAACCAATGTTCTTTTTAAATCAAGGTTAGCAACCTTAGAACTTAAAAGGAGAACCAAAAAACAATTTTAAAAAATCTATTTGGATAAACATCTTCCTACTTGCCTGGAAAGTTTCTTTCTTTTTAGATGAGTAGCTTATATAAAGAGACAATCAAATGTGGGGGAAAAAAAATCTTCCCACTGTACAGATACTATAGGTATGTGAACTCTGGCATTCCCAGAATCAAGAGAATTTTGAAGTCAGATAAGAAACACTACATCAAAAGCAAAAGCATTTAAAAAAATACTATCTGAATCCTCACATTTGGAAAAACCTACAGGAATTAGTTCAGTATCACTTTGGAATAAGAAATTAAATATGAGTCAGAATGCAGACCACTTTTAATCTGCTGTTGATTGCAGCTTTGCCCTTTAATAAAGAGTTGCTATCCACTGTACTATGTTATTCTAGACCCATGTAGCAATTAATTCAGTTGCCTGGATTCCCAGGAGGACTTCTGAAATTTCTGCCCACAAAGGGCCCCAACCTTCATAAAAGCTGTAAGGGAAGGAGATCATAAACTATTTCCTCAGAACCACAAGCACGGCCCACACTCCTCCAAAGAACACAAGAGAGGCAGTCTTCCTGGTCTTACTGAAACATGGAGCAAGGCTTGAGAAATGCTCATTTGCAAAGCCAAATTCAAAGATGCTAGTTAGGATAAAGGAAACTGGTCCTTTCCTAGGATTTCTTTTTCATCACAGTTCCTCAGCCATAAGGAATTTAAAGTTGCTTTGTACCTCTCAGTTACTGATCCTCCCCCCCCCCCCCCCNAGTCAAGAGAAAACACATGATACTTAGTCAGCGGCAAACTGGAATTACTGCCCTGGCAGGCTTACCACTCAGAATTTAATGAGAAGAATCCATTCAGGCACCAGACACAAAATGTTAACTAGCTGTCCTCAGCAGAAGCCTCTGTCCCAAACTCACAGGAAAGGGAAGCTAAGTTTTTGATCAGTTACCATGAGTCTCAGGCACAAGAAGTTCACAAGCCAACCAGTATTTTAGGTAACATAAGCACCTCAAATTTTACTATATGAATATAGATCTCTATTAGGGATAAGATTTAGAGTCTGGCAGAAGAGAGTTCTAGGCAAACAGTGTCTAAATCATAGGCGAGACCAATAAGGGCCTTTTGACCTCGCTAGCAATAAGTAAAAAGTCTTTTTATAAAGCTCTTCTGCATATTTGTAGCATAGCAAAATATCATTGACTAAAGACCTCTCAACACAGCGAGACTAACCTACTACATTTTAAAAATGAGCTTTGGGGGTCAATCTATCAAACAGTCCTCCTCCTCTGCTTCTTACGTACCTTGGTGAGGCATCCACCTAATATTTCTAAGCTCAAAACATTCAAGACCCATCATCAAACTTCTCCCCAGAATATGGAGAGAATGCTGATTCTAAGCAAAAACCCCCCACATGATTAATTTAGGCAGCTCCGATCTCCCATAGATTAAGGGTGAGGCACAGTCATCAAAGGGATGGATGACACAACTCTAGGGATTCAAAGACAATGTCTGAAAAGGACATTCTTGTGGGACAATGAATTTTATTACTGAACTTTTATGGAAACACAATTTCCTAGCATGAAAGATCAACTTTGTAAATTTGGGGCAAATGAGTCAGAATTTGGAAGTTGATGAAAATTTTTTCTCATGCTCTATGCTAAGTGGTCAATTCTTATTGCCACCATTTTCTGCAGAACGAAATGAGCCTCTCTTCCATTCCTATTCCAGAATCCTAGAAACAGACTGAGTCACTGAAGTCAAACCGTCCTCATTGTCCAGCAACCCAACTCCCAGGAGTCACTTTACAAATATTCCAGGTATCTGAAATCAGGATCGCTAAGGGCAGGGCATGAAGCCTAAGGCACAACCTCAACTCCAGTGTCCCAGAGCTCCTACTCTTCAAAGCGCAGTCATGTTGGTGCTTTGATATGATCAACTCACAATTTAGAATAAATCCCCAAACATGTTTTAAAAGCACCCCTCCCCACCTCAACTAGGGCTCTGCACACTCGGACCAACATTTAATTCTGCCACACCCCACATGTCCCCAGCACAGGTCTGAGATCGTTAATGCTCAAATCTGAACTGGGATTTGCAAAAACAGGGTGTGCGGTCTTTGCCAAGCCGGGCACATGCCCACTCAGCCTTGGGGCAGCACCAATTTCTGCGAGATCAGCATCCAGAGAGCGGCTGCAGCCCCGGACGCTGTTGGCCTGCAGCAGAACTCATCCCCATCCCACAGCCAAGCTAAGAGTCGAGGAGCCGCCCACAGAGTGCCGGGGCAGTCTCCACCGTGGACGGAGGCAGGGGCACCTGGTTCCTCCCACCCAGCTGGAGCAGGAAGCTGGGAGGATGCGCGTCCACTACGCACCGCGGGCCGCCCGGCGCGCCGGGCGCGAAGCCCGGTCTGAACCTCCCGGTCGCCGCAAAGGGAGACACACCCGTCCGCCGCGAGGAAATGCAGGTGAGTCTTTGTAAGTCGAGTCTCAGACTCCTCTCTTGAGGGCTCGAAGCCAAGGAACCTGGACCCAGGACGCGCGGTTCCCCGGGGAAGCCAAGCCCCCTTCTCCGGCTCCCGCCCAGCCGGCAAAGGGGGCCGCGCACCGAGCAGCGCCCGGCGCCCTGGCTTTGCAGCAGGCGGGTGTGCGCCCCGGTCGCGGCGCCCCCACCACTTACCCGACGCCTATGCACTGGCTCGCGCGCCGCAGGGGAGGCTCGGGCAGAGGTGGCGCGGTCCTGCCAGGGCGGTGGCCGGCTCTGCGCCTCAAATACGCCCGGCCCTGCACGCCTCTCCCGGGGCGGGGCCACACCCCGGCCGCCCCCGGTCTCTTGGTGCGAACTAGGCTGGGCGAGTCCTGGCCCCGCTGGATACCCGGGCGCCCAGGCGCCGCGGATCCAGGACGCAGAGACGCCTGACCCAGGACAGCGGTGGGTGGGACCCGCGTTCTCCATCCCCTCAACGTCCAGTCGGTCCCCTCCGCAGCCGCCAGAGATTGGGTTCACCGCCCTCTCATTAGATTCACCTGCTAAGCCCTCAGACCAAGATAGGGACAGTCTGCGAAGCTTTTAGTGACAGGGAGGGTCCTGTCACGTTTTCTGAGATGCTGAGTGAGAAGCTGCATACCTTGTTTTTATTCCCCTTCTGAACTGTGATATGGGCACACACCTCTCAGACCAAGGAGCCCTAGGTTGTTTTGCTGTTTGCTTCCCACTGCCTCCTCAACATCTGCCCTGTGTTTGGTAGGTCCTCAGTAAACTGGTTAAATTTGTTTAGTAAATGAATGATTGAAATAGTGAATCACTTCCTAGGAAGTCTATTTTCTCAAAGATTGGAAAGAGTCTTGATGGAGGGGAGAGTTAAACACAAATGTAGCTTTGAGAAAGGTAGGAATAAAATAAAATAAAGCTATGGCTCTAAGAAGGGCTTCGCTGGTAGCTCAGCTGGTAAAGAATCCACCTGCAATGCAGGAGGCCCCAGGTTGATTCCTGGGTGGGGAAGACTCGTGAAGAAGGGATAGGTTACCCACTCCAGTATTCTTGGGCTTCCCTGGTGGCTCAGAGTAAAATAAGAATAAAGTAAAGTAAAATAAAGAATCCGCCTGCAATGCAGGAGACCTAGGTTTGATCCCTGGGTTGGGAAGATCCCCTGGAGGAGGGCATGGCAACCCACTCCAGTGTTCTTGCCTGGAGAATCCCCATGGACAGAGGAGGCTGGACTACAGTCGGTGTGATCACAAAGAGTCTGACCTGACTCAGCAACTAAGCACAGTACATGTCTCTAAGAAAGATTGTTACAAGTAGTGATGTTTCCAGGAGAAGTGGTATTTGTCTGTAGCATTTCACTGGGTAATAGCTGAGTGAAATGACTAAGGATGTCTTAGATACATATGTTTTTTAATTCAAATAGCCACTCACAAAAATTAACACACAGACATAGAAAACAAATTTATGGTTATCAACGTGGTAGTGAGAGGAAGGAACAAATTAGTAATTTGGGATTAAGAGATACATGCTGCTGCTGCTGCTGCTAAGTCACTTCAATCGTGTCCGACTCTGTGCAACCCCATAGACGGCAGCCCACCAGGCTCCCCCGTCCCTGGGATTCTCCAGGCAAGAGTACTGGAGTGGGTTGCCATTGCCTTCTCCTAACAGATACATACTCCTAGACAAATAAGATATAAATAATAGACAAATAACAAGGACCTACTGTGTAGCACAGGGAACTATATTCAGTATCTTGTAATACCCATAATGGAAAAGAATCTGAAAAATACATATATGTATGACTGAATCACTTTGCTGTACACCTGAAACGTTGTAAATCAACAATACTTCAGTTTTAAAAATGAACTCAAAATGGATTAAAGACCTAAATGTATGACCTGAAGCTATAAAACTCCTAGAAGACAACAGAGAAAGAGCTCCTTGACATTGATTTTAGCAATAATTATTTGGATATGACACCAAAAACACAAGCATTAAAAGTTTAAACAAGTGGGACCTACATCAGACTAAACAGCTTCTACACAGCAAAGGAAACCATCAACAAAATGAAAAGGCAGCCTACAGAATTGGAAAAAATATTTGCAAATCATATATCAAAATAAGAGCCTAATATCCAAAATATATAAGGAACTCATTTATACAACTCAATTGCAAAAAAAAAAAAATCTTAAAAAATGGGCAGAGGAACCAAATTTTTCCAAAGAAGCTATACAAATGGCCAACAGGTACATGAAAAGGTGCTCATTGTCACTAATCGTCAGGGAAATGCAAATCAAAAGCACAATGAGATATCACCTTATGCCTGTTAGAATGGCTACTGTCCAAAGACAAGAGATATGTATTGGAGAGAATGTAGAGAAAAGAGAACCTTTGTGTACCATTGGTAGGAATGTAAATTGGTGCATCCATTGTGGAAATAGTTTTGAAGAAAATCAGAACTACCATATGACCCATATGGTATGTACTTCTGGGTACATATCCAAAGGAAATGAGATCACTATCTTGAAGAGATATCTGCTCCCCCATGCTCATTGCAGAATTATTTATAATAGCTAAGACCTGGAAACAACCTAAGTGTCCATTGATGGATGAATGGAATAAAGAAAATGAGAGCTTTCTATCCATGGCTATGCGCTGTGCTCTGCTTAGTCGCTTCAGTCATGCCTGACTCTGCGACCCTATGGACCATACCTGCTAGGATCCTCTGTCCATGGGATTCTCCAGACAAGAATACTGGAGTGGATTGCCATGTCCTCCCCCAGGGGATCTTCCTGATCCAGGGATCGAACCCGAGTGTCTTACATCTCCTGCATTGGTGGGCAGGTTCTTTACCACTAGTGCCACTCTGGAAGCCCATCTATAGCTATATACTATGTCTATATTTAAACACATTCACACACACACACATACACATGTTGACTTAAAAAAAATGCACAATGTGAGTTGCAAGTTAAGTTTTAATTGGGGCAATATGAGGGCAGCATCCCAGGAGACAGCACCTCGGATAGCTCTGAGAAACTGTTCCAAAGAGATGGGTAGAAGGACAGTATACATGATTTTGGTGAAAGGGGGAGTACATGCAATCAAGCACATTTATCTTTTTAGAAAGTTTCTGTTGGTCTCATGAAGCTTCTGCTAGTCATGAGAAACAGTCATCACCATGAAGGATTTTAGTGCTTTTCTAGATATGAGAAGATACACGAATTGGACTCATAAAATGAGCTCCTGAGAATAACTATCTGAAGACCTGCCTGCCAGATTCCAGGAGCAGAGTGCCTCACTCCAGCTCTCCAGCCTGAACTCCTTCAGTGGGGTGTTGGAGGTCAGCAGCTAACAGCCGCACATGATTTAATTCTTGCAGTGGTAGATGGCCAGTGCCCATGGCAAGTGCCAATTTGTGGTTAACACACACAGTGAAATTGCCGGGAGCCAACACACGAGACCCCTAACAAGGTCACGAGGAGAAAGCCTGACAGGCAAGGCAGATCAGGTTTTCAGGGATTTCGAAAAGCTGTCCCCGGCGCTCACCTTAAAGATGATATCTGTCTTTCTGATGCCTGCCTCAATGGACTACTCCCTAATTTCTGTGACACAGGCAGAAGGCCTTCCCCGGTCTCTTCCCAAATAAGAATCAATTTAGAACTTTAATCTATAAGTTTCCCAGGTGGTGGTATTTTATGAGATTACTCAGGGTGAAAGGAGTGTTTTAATTTAAACTCCTTTGCTGGTAGTTTGTTAGTCAAATGCATTTATGCCCTCGGTACTAATATGCATGACTGCTTATAACATCCTAATCATAAAATAGCATAAAGAACCTGATTATATAAAAGCCCTAACAGACATAGAGCCTTTTTAAGGGGTAAAGGAGTCCTATTAGAAAACATAAGAAAAATTATTCTATAGGTGGTTATTGGGTTGAGATTTGCTTGCTGTGTTTTGCTTGCTGTGTTTTTGCTTTTAATGTGCTTAAGGTTGTGTTATAGAAACCGTTGTTAATATAGTTTAAGATCTAGAGAAATAAGGACTTAGCCCTAGTGTGGTAACAATGAGATGGTTGTTAATTGTCAGCCAGGAGTGCTAGGCAGAAGCTGCCTCACCAAAGTCGCAGAGTCAGTATGGGGTAAACTTCTTAGATAAACGCAACTGACAACTTCTGCAGAAGGATTAATTTTTGTGTTAACAAGATTATACTTCTACTCTGTACTGTTGCCCTATGAGACTGCTACCTTTCAGTTAAGGTCACCAGAGAAACAGAAAATAGGTTTACATTCACCTGACTTGCATAAAATGTTAATAGGCCCCAAGGCCAGAAGATAATGTACAAGACCCTCATTAACAAAGAAGTATGCAGAAAACACCCTGGTTTCGTGAAGGACAAGCTGACGTAATGTTAACCTATCTTCTCCTTAGAAATGTACTAATTTAGGGTATAAAAGCCATGCTAAAAAATAAAGCATTGCCAGACTTTACCAGACTCTCTACACCCCCGTCTGGTCATTCTCTCTCTCTCTCCCTGTTTCGCCAACGCCGTTCATCCTGATCCCCTGGATCCTGCCGAGGCTGGACCCCGGCAGTGAAATATTATTCAGTGATTAAAATGGCAGGAAGGAAATTTGTGACAGCATGGATGAAACCTAAGGGCATCATGCTCAGTGAAGTAAATCAGAGAAAAACGAATACCGAAATAATCTCACTTATATATGGAGTGTAAAAGTCAAGTTCATAGAAACAGAAATGTAGAAACATAATTTCATTGCCAGAGGTTAGGAGATGAGAGAAGTGGGGAGGTCTTGGTAAAAGAGCATAAACTTCCAGTTAGTTACAAGATGAATGAATTCTGGGATCTAATGTATAGCATGGTGATTATAGTTAACAATACTATAGTTAACAAGGGCTTCCCTTGTGGCTCAGCTGATAAAGAATTTGCCTGCAATGTGGGAGACCTGGGTTCAATCCCTGGTTTGGGAAGATCACCCGGAGAAAGGAAAAGCTATCCACCCCAGTATTCTGGCCTGGAGAATTCCAAACTGTATAGTCCATGGAGTTCCAAAGAGTTGGACATGACTGAGCGACTTTAAAAAAAAAAAGTAGTTAACAATACTTGGAAGTTGCTAAGAGAGTAGATCTTAAGTATTCTCATCACACACAGACAAAAGTAACTGTGAAGTGATGGATACTATTGTGGTAATTGTTTCATATATATATATTTATTTATTTATTATATACAGATATATCTCATTTTATATGTATGTATAACCAAAGTTT